ACGCATAATCCGATTCGCATTGATTATTCATGGCCGTTAGTATTTGTCTTCATGCAATCAATACCTATCAATAACGCAACCTTAACCGTACACATCTTCAGATGACGTCACTGGAAAATCCAGCAGCAGGAGGACGAGCACCACCAGATGGAGAACTCGTAGATAGCGGTGGAGGAGCAGGAGGAGGAGGAGCCGTGAGTCTGCCACCAGGGGTCAGGCCACGCCCACAACTGCCACCGAAGCCACCCATCGACACGATTAGATATAGCATGAACAATATCAAAGGTTTGCCGTTCAACACTTCTGACCAATCACTACTTCGATTTTTTGATTAATTTTTACCTCTTTTTGTTGTTTTGTTATGGTACTTAAGGGTTGCACTAATCACGCCCTCTGTCATCTTATCTGGGTCGATGAGGCCGGCCCTAGTGCAGGCATTTCGCGCGTTGTTCCGACGGCGATTCCAGTGAATTTTCATTATTGATCGGCTAATTTAATTCAGATACAGTCGTTTTTCAAATTGTTTTTCTCCACGAAAGTTGTTAGAACTGGTTTATAGCGGACATCTAGCGCATCAGTCTTGATCTTCAATCCTGATCTGGACTGCATTCCAGCCATTTCACTAGCCGATGCGGTTGTAAAAACCGTGCATCGCTCGCGCTTCTCATGTTCTACCGTAATTCTTCTATTATTGTATTTCCTATGGATCCTGTGGGATGGAGGTGGATTATGGGGGAAGAGGCGCCTGCAGCACTGGTATGGTCCTAAATTCGGATCATAAGTCCACATGCTCTCCGTGGTCGGCCAATTGGAACTGGTGCCCCACGTCCGCAGTTCGGCGACGGGGGGGGGCGTTTTCCATTTTCGCTGCTTTACTAGTTCCGGTTAACAAGTCTCACTCCGGTGAAACCTGTGAGTTCTTGTAAACCTGGAGCAAGTCCGTCCAGCCATTATGGTAAAACCTGTCTACTTTTGTAAGCTCATGAAACATCTCTCTATATGGCTCGCATGTCGATGGAAGTGACAAAAAGTGCAAATATATCCCCGCTCACGTCGCCGTCCGCCGCCGTCTACACGGACAACTTTCAGAGAATCGAGAATACTCTTGCCTGTGAGTGTTTCGTTTGAGCCATTCATCACCGCCAACCGTTCCCACCTTTCTATAGATGATAAATGCATGGCGCCATTTCCCCAATAGGTGCTAATGTCCAGTACATTACCCTTCACTTGCGCTCGTTGAACTGTAAGACCGTTGCAGTGTCCGATAGTGACTGTGAAACACGTTTCGCGCTCTGTTTCTCTGCCACTGCAATCATTCGTTCTTCCCTGGCCAGAGGCGCCTGGACGGGCGAGCTGGACCAGCTCGAGCTCCTCCCCTCGTGTGTGACAATGTCGTCTATTGTTTTGCATTGTTGTCGCTAATGCAGCACGTATGTACGTGGCGCCAACGACCGCCGCTACTCGTTTTACACACTCCCCGTGACGTTTGAGCCGTACCACTTTAACACAATGAGCTCGACAGCTTCCCGCAATGGCGAGCAGCTGCTCAGTCAGTGGTCCCTCCCGTGTGGCGAAAATACGCAAACATAGGTTGCTTTGTTCGTTAACCTCTAGTCCATTAGAGCCATCGCGACCTGACCATTTACGGTCCATTCACAAGCTTACCCCCTCCTAAGAGCACGACGACCTGCTGCAGCTCGTCTCATTGCTTGCCAAAGCAGATTTTTCTGCTGCTGCCGCCGGGCGAGTAGATAATCGGCCGCTTAGCATTAGTTCCCGTTCGTGTAAACTCTCACCACGACTAGTTCCCCCACCGTGAATGTCTTTCATTTGAAGGCCAAAAACACCAGTCTCGATGGGAGGAAACTGGAACGATTATTTGCAGTAATTAGTACTCTAACGATCAAACGACCTATTTAAATTGTAATTCGTTCTATTATTGCTTTTTTTTTCTCGTCACGGTTCCCGGCGTGCCTCATCAGAAAAACCGTCCGTACAGTTTTTATCGCGATGAAACGGCATTTATCATTCAGACCTTTGTTTCTACGGGTGTTTTGTAGGCTCTCGTGATGTTTTTGGACAACCGTGATGTTTTGTGGTCAGACGCCCTCCTTTGGGAACGCGATTCAAACCTTGTTCACACTAGGCACGCCCCTTCCCTTACCATGGAATATCTTCTTCTTATCACCCATCTGAAGTCTGGTCCACTAACAGTTTTCCCTCGGACCAATAAAGCCCTTCATCATTCCAGAATGGCCTAGTTGGGAGCTGAAACTGACCGGCCAGAGAGAAAAACCCTACTTAGTTCTCCCATTAGTCCGAATTTTCTTCATTTTCACCGTGCATTCTCCCGGACGGCTGTGGGAGTATGAAAACACCGACATAACTTCGGCGCAGTTGGGCGACGGGGAGGGGAGGAATTGTGCACTAGCTCGTTTTTTCTTTTTACCTTTTATGCCGACTTTGCTAGGCTCGCGACTTCTCGATTATCATTCGTTACTCCAAGGGATGCGCCATGCACTCAACCTCTCTGACTGAATGGATGCAAATGTTGTGTATTCCGCTGTGGCGCACTGTTTCAATTAGGTTCCATATATGAACAAATCGTCATGCAAAATTGGTTTACCATAGTGCGAAAACCCTTCTGGCGCAGTTAGGCCTGGTGGGGGCACCAAATGGTACTCAGCGAAGCCTGAACAGGTCACCAAAATTAGGACCGGTGATTTCC